CCGCCTCGGCGCCGCCCCCACCGGACAAGCTGGAGGGAGGTGGCGGCCCCGCACCGCCCCCTGCGCCGCCCAGCACCGGGAGGAAGCAGGGCAAGGCCGGTGAGAGCGCTGAGGGGCCGGGGCTGAAGGGGCCCGGGACTTGGGATCCTTGGAGGGGAGGGCTGAAGGGTGGGGGCGGCCATAGGCGGAGGGGGCCTGAAGGGACACCCAGGTGAAAAGGATGGGAGGGTGTAGTGCTCCAGGAGTAGGGGCAGGTGTCCCAGAGAGCGCTGTCGGGTTTGGAGCCACATGGGAATGATTCCGGAGTCTCTTGGCGCCTGGAGAACCCGAGAGATGGGCTAGCTTTCGTTTAAGGAAGATGGAGCTGAGATCGGTCATGCTTGCAGTTTTGTTCGTACGTGTTAGATATTTAAGCAAATGTATTCCGAAGTGAGAGGAGTCTGGCTGGGAGAAAGGAGGTTGGGGGAACCTCAGGGAAACTTGTCTGCGTCTGCCTTTTGCTGCTCTTCCAGGTCTGCAAATGAAGAGCCCAGAAAAGAAGCGAAGGAAGTCAAATACTCAGGTGAATGAATGGGGGGTGGCGTTGGGGGTGGTTTCTAGTGCTTTGGCACTCCGGTCTCTGTTGGTGTCTTGCATTAGGTGCAGAGAGAAAAGACAGCCGTCTCTTTGGATCTGTTTCTTGCTCTGTCTCCCCAGTGTTATAACAAGCTGAGGGGGAATCGCCAAGAAGTGATTTGACCGAGGTCTTATAAGGCTGGGTTAGCCTTTCCCTTTCCTATTTTTCCTGTCTTGGTTCTCTCTGGTGAACATGAACTGCTGCTTAGTGATCCTTTTCTAAGCGCCAGGAATTGGGCTGAAGTACTTTATTTACTGATTGATTGGTTGCTGAAGTACTTTAACAGCTTTGGGAGATAGACATTGTTCCTTTCTTACAGACTGAAATCTGAGGTTTTAAAAAGTTAAATACCTGGGACCAGCAGTTAGCGTAATGGCTATGTCGCTGGATTCCCATGTAGTAGACCGCGGTTTGAGTCCCGGACCCAGTGGCTTAAATTCACGCTGGGCGCGTGTGCGTGCGTGCCCAAGATCCTGAGAGGAGAATGGAGGTGAAGGGATTGCAGCGTGGCCATCCCCCCTGGGGAGTGATATCTCGCTTTCTGTCTATCTGTCTCTCTCTGTCTTCCTGGTGAGCGCACGCACCCTATAGCAGAAACCTCTCCAAAAAGAAAGAAAGAAAAAGTTAAATACCTGCTTCAGGGTCTTTAACTTATTCTGGGTCAGAACTGAGATTCCAGTGTAGTTCTGTTTTTGCAAATACAGTTACTTTGTTAAACAGGTTCTGTTCTCCAGCCTGTTTCTTTGTTGCATTCTAAGGTCTTCTTGGTTTTACACCTGAGCTGACCAGCATCAGCCGGGATAGCCCGACAGTACAGGTCAGGTCTTAAGGTGCTCTTCTAGGTTAGTTCTGCTTGTCTCTGACTCTCTCCCTCATCTGTTCTCTGCTAGGGCCCTGCGTACTCACATCTGACGGAGTTTGCACCCCCTCCGACGCCCATGGTGGATCATCTGGTTGCATCCAACCCTTTTGAGGATGACTTCGGAGCCCCTAAGGTGGGGGGCACAGCCCCTCCATTCCTTGGCAGTCCTGTGCCCTTTGGAGGCTTTCGTGTACAAGGGGGAATGGCGGGGCAGGTACCCCCAGGCTATGGCACTGGGGGTGGAGGGGGTCCCCAACCACTTCGTCGACAGCCCCCACCTTTCCCTCCCAATCCTATGGGCCCTGCTTTCAACATGCCCCCCCAGGGCCCTGGCTACCCACCCCCCGGCAACATGAACTTTCCCAGCCAACCCTTCAACCAGCCTCTGGGGCCAAACTTCAGCCCTCCTGGTGGGCAGATGATGCCGGGCCCGGTGGGGGGATTTGGCCCCATGATCTCACCCACCATGGGACAGCCTCCCAGGGGAGAGCTGGGCCCCCCTTCTCTCCCCCAACGTTTTGCTCAGCCAGGGGCACCTTTTGGTCCCTCTCCTCTCCAGAGACCTGGTCAGGGGCTCCCTAGCCTGCCCCCCAACACAAGTCCTTTCCCTGGCCCAGACCCTGGCTTTCCTGGCCCTGGTGGTGAGGATGGGGGAAAGCCCTTGAACCCACCTGCTCCCACCGCTTTCCCCCAAGAGCCCCACTCAGGTTCCCCAGCTGCTGCGGTTAATGGGAATCAGCCCAGTTTTCCACCGAACAGCAGTGGGCGGGGTGGGGGCACTCCGGATGCCAACAGCCTGGCACCCCCGGGCAAAGCAGGTGGGGGCTCGGGGCCCCAGCCTCCCCCAGGCCTGGTGTACCCATGTGGTGCCTGTCGGAGTGAGGTGAACGACGACCAGGATGCCATTCTGTGCGAGGCCTCCTGCCAGAAGTGGTTCCACCGCGAGTGCACAGGCATGACTGAGAGCGCCTACGGGCTGCTGACCACAGAGGCCTCTGCAGTCTGGGCCTGCGATCTCTGCCTCAAGACCAAGGAGATCCAGTCCGTCTACATCCGCGAGGGCATGGGGCAGCTGGTGGCTGCCAACGACGGGTGACACTGGCAGGGTGGCCCAAGGAAGTGCGTACATCCCTCCCTGCTCTTCCAGGGTGGTTGTCTCCGTGTCTGGCTCTTGGTCCTTGTTTCCACTGGCTTCCCATCCCACGGGCAGAAAAGGAACCGAGGTGGGCAGGCAGAAGAGCCTGGATTGCTCACCTTTTTGGAAACTTCGTGTTGAGGTCTACAGAGATCCAGGAAACCAAAGCCCTGCTGAGCAGCGCCATTTCTTTTTTCTTTTTTTCTTTCTTCTTTTTTTTGGGTGGCTATCTCTGGAGGCCTAGGGGTGTGACTGCAAGAAGAGGAGCTGGAGGAAGATCCAGAGGGCAGGGTGTCCCCTCTGCAGTTGGTAGATGCCCCAAACACCTGTGCCTGACACCACCTACCACCGTCTGGCTTCACACCTCCAGCTTTGGCTTTGGAGTCAAGTGTGAAAGGTTTCTGGCCAGAGATGTTGGCATCTTCCCATCTCTGCAGCAGCCCTGTGATGGGCTCTGGGAGACAGCTTTAGGGAATAAGTGGGGATTTTCCCTCCTCTTCTCCTTTCTTTGCCTCCTCAAAGACCTACCCAACTCCTCCTCCCTCAGAGAACCAAATAGCTTAAAGAAGCAGGAGTTCTGGCTATGGCAGTTCCGTGGTGATTTGGGGTTGCGAGACAATAGGTGAGAGGCGCTGTCAGGACACCTTTCTCATACCAAAGTCACTGGTCCTTTCTTAGCCTCTTTTCTCCCAACGACCATCCTGTTGCCAAAAAGTGACATATGTGGACTGAGAGGTCTTTGAGCTTGGGCTGTCCTGGAAGTGGCCTCTGGTGGCACCGCCCCCGCCTTGTCCCTCCGGTCTGTCCTTGCCCTTTGGTGCCCTCGCTCCCCCGCCGCCTGGCTGGATTGAAGGAAAGCTTGCAAAGGGGCGCAGAGTCCTCATACCTCATCTCCTCTCCTGACAGAAGGATCCTGAGGCCGGCCCAGCCTGTGGCTAGGGGGAGGTGCAGGACCCTCCGTGCCATGGTACTAAAGGTAGCAGAGCTGGGGTGCTTTTGCTTCTCTCTTTCCTTCCTGTTATCTTGTACCATCTCGGACCTCGTGGTCTAGCAGTTTTCTCAGCCAGAGTCCTTACTGGGCTTGCTTTGTTTTTATTTTATTTTTTTAAGCACTGCCAGAGGGGCCTGGGGCCCGATCGGGAGCTCCTCATGGCTGCCCTGGGTTCCTCTTTGCGTGTACACATTCCTCAGTGAGGGCGGGGAAGGCAGGTGTGGGGTCTGGCCCTCCGAAGAAGTTAGTGGTCCCCAGCACAGGGTGTGGTAGCAAAGGCCTTCCTGTGTAGTCCCTTGTCCCCACCTCCTCACGTGGAGGGAAGGCTCCACCCCGTGGGCCCAGGAGCCTTGGGGGCTGTGAGAGAGAAGGGATGGCCCTCACCGCTCAGCTCTGTGTTGTGTTTGTGGTTTTGTTGACCCTCTGTTGCTGTTTGTGTTGTCCCCCCATGCTGGCGCTGCCGTTTTTTGTAACATGGCTCCTCCTTGGGGAGTTCTTTTGATCTGCCCCCTCGCCCTCTCTGCTCTTTGAAAGAAAGGGTAGAGATGTGGTAGTGGGGGGTTTCTTTTGTACGGTTGGATTAATAAAACGACTTGAAAATCCAGACTCTTTCGCTGTTTATGTGCAAAACTGGTGGGAGGAGCCAGTACCACCGCTGGGGAGGATGCTCAGGGGGAGGCTGTGCATCGTCCTGGGCTCCCTGGATGTAGAATGGCAGAAGGAATGCTGGCCCTGGTTAAACTTCAACCCCACAAGCCAAAAGGAGGCCTGTGTCCCCCCCACCCCCCCCTGCTGCACCCTGCTGTGAGAAACTGGTTCCTTTTTGAGCGCATTCCTGGGCCAGGCCAAGAGCCAAGAGGGAGTTTTGGTTCCAAGACTGAGCGACAAGTGCCTGAGTTCTGGGTTAGACTCGCTTCCCCACCCCCTCCCCAGTTGTTTGAGTAAGGGGTGAAGTGTAGCTGAAAGGTGAGGGCCTGGCTGCTCCTGGTCTAGCACATTTCGTTTTTGGGTGTTTTTTGATGCCTCTCTGCCTCCCCCCCACCCCACCCCCGTTTTTTTTTTTTCTCAAGTGGCAGTGGCATCCTTAAGCAGTCCACCCTAGAGCTGGGTGGGGAGAGCGCAGGAGGGCTATTTCCAAACCTGCGGTTTGTCACCCGGTCTCTTCCCTTCCCCCATTCTACAGCTGTCTCTGTCCATCCTGAAGCCAGCCTGGCCCTTGTCCTTGTCATCTTGGGACAGTACCCTTTGCCTTTCAGTTTTGAGTCTTCCCACTAGAAAGTGTTTAGGTGCGGAGAGGAGGGCCGGTCACCCAAGATGCAGTTTGAAGGGACCCCAGTCGCCTACCAGGAGGTAAAGCGAAGTTTAGGAACTGTAGCTCTCCCCTCCCCTGACTCTCACTTTCAGCTCTCATTGGCCAAAAGTTTCCGCCCCCTTGGGAAATTTGGCTTTCTATTGGTCATCCCCTGGTCACATGACTCCCCTCTTTTCTTGGGCTGGAAACCCTCGGAGGCCTCAGCAAGTGAGGCTGAAAACCGAAGCAAGAGCTGGGTCAGGTAATGCCCTAGCTGGGAACGGGTTCACAGAGTCCCCGTGAGACAGGGGACAAAGGACAGGGAGGGCAGAACTCTGGAAGGAATGGGCCCTGCCGGGGATCCAAAGAGCTGCTTTACTTGGGCGGCGGGAAGGGGGCAGTGTGCGATGTTTCCAAAACAGGAACTTGCCCTGAGCCCCCTCAGGGAAGTTCCCGTGGCCATCAGTCTTTTGCTATAGAGGTTTGGGAGAATAAATGTTAGAAAGATTGCAATTAGCTTGTCAGAGTAGGAGAGCTCCCCCTTTAGCTGTTTTTTAGAAATAGCAGAAATCTGGCAAGATCCTTCCAGATGTTTCGCTGAATCCCGACTTCATGGAAAGGAAAGGGCTGGTAGAGAGGGAGTGGAGGTAGGTTTCCTTCCTAGAGGCCGATAAGAAGGGAAAGATCTGAGAACACAGCAGGGAAGGGTGGCGATTAGACAGCAGAAGGAACTTCCTAATAAGGCAGTGCGATGCTGGTTTGAGAGAACAAGGGTATCGTATCTTTTGGAATTTTGGATGAACTCAGCTAAGAGCGCTTTCAGGGTTTGGGACGCTAAGTGCAGGGGTTCCAGTCTGCCCGCTGTGTGGGTCTCAGAAGTGTTTGTCTGGTTGACCCAAATACCGTTGTTGGTTTCCATGGAGACAGTCTGACATCACCCTGGTTGCCATGGTGCCTGGTTCAGGAGGACCTGAGCAGGCTGTACACAGCCAGGGATATAAACAGGGACTTTAGCTCAAGCTGCTGCTACTTCCTTCCTGCCACCACCTGTTAACAGTCACACGCAGCAACTGGGGATGGGGAGATGATGACAGATGGGCGGGGGCGGGGCCTAGAGCAGAGAGTGGAACAGGGCTGCCTCTGGATGTCTGCAGAAACCACGCCCTCATTGCAGCTGTTCTGCCTCTGTGGGATGGATGCGTGTGCCTGGGGGTCACGGGCATTGGGAAGATGCCGAAGGTGTCCTTTACCTATCCTGAGCATGGGACTTGACTGGCAAGAGTCCCAGGAGTTTTGTATGGTACCATGTAGGACTTAAACCAGCTAAAACCCAACGGGGTATGTGGTCAAAGGTGAAATCGCCACATTTCCCGAGCCTCACCTTCCTGAGAAACTGCTTCCTTGTAGTCATCTTCCACTTCCTGCCTGTACCCCTGGGGAGGCAGGCCTTTATCCCCCTCTGAAGGAGCAGACGTGAGAGGGCTGAGGAAACAGCGGGTCCAGCACTCCACCTTTATGGGTGGTCCCAACTGCAGCTGCCTCAGCCTTGCCTCAGATGAGGGATGGGGCCCTCTCTCTTACCCTGCCAAGTCAGAGCAGAACAGCAGGGGGCAGAACCACAGACCTGATTGTTGTCTAGTCTTTGCAAACTGCAAAGTGATTTATATGTGATAAGTGTCATATGTCCCCTTTCCCAGTCCCCTTCGAGCTCCCTAAGACCAAACTCGGGAGAACACTAAGAAGGGAAACAGAATTTAGGATGCAGCATGGAGTGAGATTTACTGCAGGGGCTTCCAGGTGGCACTAAGCCATGCCTGTGGTCCTCAGCCCTGGCTGCATGTGAGAACCACCCAAGAGGTTTATTATTATTATTATTTATTGATTAATTTGTAAAGTCTGCCTCAGGGTGCATGTGCTCGCTAGAGAGACACAGAGAGAAAGGGAGAAAGCATTCCCTAGTGGGGATGGCCATGCCACAATCCCTTTTCCTCCACTTTCCTTTCAGGATATTGGGCACATATGCATAAGTGCTCAGCATGTTCTTCAAGCCACCAGGTCTGGGACTCAAACCATTCAGTTGATCTAGCTCTCTCTCTTTTCTTTTTAAAAGATTATTTATTTATTTATTTATTTATTTATTATTTTAAAATATTTTTAAATTCTTTTAAAAAAGAATTCTTCTGTTCAATTTTATTAATTATTATTACAATTATTTTAATTTGAGCAGAAAGAGACAGAGAGAGAGAAAGTGAGAAAGCAAGCCGCCAGGTCCAGGACTCGAACCATAGTCGGCCATGTGTTAATCCAGTGCACCTAACCACCATGGCGGCTGCGGACCCCTGATCCAGTTCTCTTGGCCACCATGCCACTAGCTGGGCCCTGAGAAGTTTTCAAGAAGCCCCATGCCTCGGGAACCAGCAGTTAGCGTAATGGCTATGTTGCTGGACTCCCATGTAGTCGACCGCGGTTCGCGTCCCGGACCCGTTGGCTTAAAACTCACACCGGGCGCATGTGCGTGCATGCCCAAGATCCCGAGAGGAGAATGGAGGAGAAGGGATTGCGGCGTGACCATCCCCCCTGGGGGTGATTTCTCACTTTCTGTCTCTATGTCTCTCTCTGTCTGTCTGGCGAGCACATGCGCCCTACAGTGAAAAAAACTCTCCATTAAAAAAAAGAAGCTCCATACCTGGGCCTGACCTCGGCCTGGCTGAGTCAGTCTGAGATGACTCCAGTGTGCAGCTGGAGTTGAGGACCCCTGAACTAGACCATACGAAGGACTTCTGGAAGGTGGGTGGGGGGGTGGAGGAACCTCTGGGCTGAAGGAGGCCAGGAGTGCTCCCTTCCAGAGCTGGGAGAGAAAGCAGAATTCGCAAAGATGCTCCTGGAAGTGTTATGGGGGGAAGGCCACGCTTCCTTCTCGCATTAGCTGTTGATCTGTGGCAAGTAAGGTCAGTGGACCTTTCTGGCTTCATCTTCCCTGACTTATGTCTGGGCACTCCCCAGAGCCTTTCCAGCCCTCTGCTTCCATGACCTTTCAAGGTCAGTACAGTGTCCCAAGGCCCTATTGGTCCCTTGAACAGAATCACTTCTCTGTGGCTACTGGCAGGTTCTGTTTTGCAAGGCAAATACTGCCGAAGAGTTGAAGCGTGTGGTCAGCAGGACTGGAACCAATCTGGGTCCTGGAGGCTGCTGCCCAGTCCTCGAATCCTGGAGCCCAGCCAAGGCCGCTTTTTGCATCCCGCCTCTCATGGAGGGAGCTCTGGTCCTTAAGAGTGCTTTTCTCTGCAGGTGGCAGCCACAGCAGCCTCAGGGACTCAGCAACCATGGCCTCCTGCCCAGACTCGGATAATAGCTGGGTGCTTGCCGGCTCGGAGGTAGGCAGAGTTGGGTCTAGGAGCCACATGGAAGGGGGGGTCCCTGCAGGGCTGGGTTGCTTTCCAGGTCTGTCTCCCTCCTTGGTCCTGCTGGTCTTCTGTGTCACCTCCTGCTGGCTGCCAGAGGAACATCAGTGGCAGGGAGCAGGAGATGAGGCTGCAGGAGTCAGGGGCTGGGACCTGGCCCATGCCTTGAAGGAGGGGTGCCATGTGGGTGAGCTGGGGGAAGGAGGGAGGGCGTTCTGGTGGGTCGATCCTGAGAGCCAAGGTCCGAGGGGGAATGGAAACGCCATGCTGGGGGAGACTGTGAGGAGGCCTGCTGGATGAGGTGTTGGGCAGAGCCTGGCCAAGGCATTCCAGGCTCATCCTGATGGGAAGCCAGGGAAGGACCAGTGAGTTGGGGGTGTCAGGACAGTCATGCCTTGGGCAGAGGGCGAAGACATTGTGTGGCTTGGCAGGAACAGGGCGTGTTTTTTTTGTTTGTTTTTAAGATTTTTGCCTTAGGGTGCGTGTGCTCAGCAGAGAAAGAGAGGCCCTGAGAGGGAAAGTGAGAAATCACCCTCCAGGGGGATAGCCATGCGGCATTCCCTTCTCCTCCATTCTCTTCTCAGAACTCTGGGCAGACACACACATGCACGAGTTTCAAGCCACTGGGTCCAAGACTCGAACTGCAGTCAGCCATGTGGGAGTCCAGCAACATAACCATTACACTGTCTGCTGGCCCCAACCTGGGATGATGTTCAAGCCACCAGGTCTGGGACTTGAACCACAGTTGGCCATATGGGAGTCCAGTGGCTCAACCACCTCGCCACATGCTGGCCCCAGGGAGAGTGCTCTGAAGGCTCCTGCAGTAGTCTGGGTCACCATTAGTGGGTGGAACCCAGTTGACTTGTGTCCCTGAAACACCGAGAAAAAAGGGGGCTGGCAGATGGGTGGAGAGGGGATGGCCAAAATTTGTCAAAGGGATCTCTGGGAGTTCCCAGCCCCAGTGACCTGAGAGGTTAGAACCAAGCTGGAGGCAGTGATGTGTCTTTAGTTGCAGCTACTCTGGAGGCTGAGGTAGGAGGACTGGGAGTCCAAGGCCAGCCTGGGCAACATAGTGAGATCCCTGCCTTTGAAAAAGAGCCAGCGGGACCAGCAGGTGGTGTGTTGGTTATGGCTGGACACTCCCACATGGCCCACCATGGTTCAAGTCCCGGACCTGGCGGCTTGCTTTCTTGCTTCCTCTCTCTCTCTTCATGTGTGTGTGTCTCTCTCTGGTCAAATTAAAATAAATGAATGAATAAATAAAATTAAAATAAAAAATAATTCTTAAAAAAAAAAGAAAAAGAGCCAGCATGGGGCTGGCAGGTGGTGTGGTGGTTAAGCGTGCTAGACTCCTACATGGCCAACCATGGTTCGAATCCTGAATCTGGTGGCTTGCTTTCTCACTTTCTCTCCCTCTCTCTCACTCTGTCCCTCTCTAGTCAAATTAAAATAAAAAAATAAAGTTAAATAAAAATAATTCTTTTTTTTTTTTTGGAGAGATTTTCGCTATAGGGTGGGTG